CTGTATCTCAACATAAGGTCTGTACAAACATCAGTTTATGTCTCTTGATGTATGGTCTGCACCCACATAACGTTCTAAATCTTAACATAGAAGCTGTACAAACATCAATTTATGTTTCTTACTAACAGGTCTGTACACAAACATCACTATATGTCTCTTTACATAAAATCTCTTAACATAAAATCTCACATCATGTTCTGTCTCTTAACATAAGCACAGCTATCAATGTCATTCTATGTCTTAACACTGAAACAGTTACAAACATCAATTTATGTCGATAAACATTAAAATGGTTACTAAAATATTACTCCCTCTCTTCGTATTGTTGAATTATTGGTCAATTCAACAATATGTCTCATAAAGAATAATAAATAAGAACTCCATATGGGTGCATGCACAGCAATGGTCCACCGGTGGTCATCAGTAGAGATCCTTCGTCGACAACTGTTTCTAGCCCATTACTTCCCTAAACAATCTTGCAAGGTGACCTGTGTCATGAAGCCAGGCCCAATCTTAATAATGTTGATTGTTGAATTATTGGTCAATTCAACAATATATCTCTTAATTAATAATTTATCATCTAATATTCTATCTCTTAGCGAATGAACGCTGCCTCAAAATATAATTAATAAAATTATGCTCCATCTCTTACCATGGTGAAAAGTTTACAACACTGAATTTATCTTATACAGCACCAGTAACCAACATCCTGTTCTGTCTCTTAACATACGCTCATCAACCAACATCCTCTTCTGTGTCTTAACATAAGAACAGCAGCCAACATCCTGTTCTGTCTCTTAACATACGCTCATCAACCAACATCCTGTTCTGTCTCTTAACATAAGATTATCAAGCAACACCCTGTTCTGTCTCTCAACATAAAAATGGCAGCCAACACCCTGTTCTGTCTCTTAACATAAGAACAGCAACCAACATCCTGTTCTGTCTCTTAACATAAGAACAGCAGCTAACATCCTGTTCCGTCTCTTAACATAAGAACAGCAACCAACATTCTGTTCTGTCTCTTAACATAAGAACAGTAACCAACATCCTGTTCTGTCTCTTAACATAAGAACAGCAGCCAACATCCTGTTCTGTCTCTTAACATAAGAACAGCAGCCAACACCCTGTTCTGTCTCTTAACATAAGAACAGCAGCTAACATCCTGTTCCGTCTCTTAACATAAGAACAGCAACCAACATTCTGTTCTGTCTCTTAACATAAGAACAGTAACCAACATCCTGTTCTGTCTCTTAACATAAGAACAGCAGCCAACATCCTGTTCTGTCTCTTAACATAAGAACAGCAGCCAACATACTGTTCTGTCTCTTAACATAAGAACAGCAGCCAACACCCTGTTCTGTCTCTTAACATAAGAACAGCAATCAACACCCTGTTCTGTCTCTTAACATAGGAACAGCAGCCAACACCCTGTTCTGTCTCTAAACATAAGAACAGCAGCCAACATCCTGTTCTGTCTCTTAACATAAGAACAGCAGCCAACATCCTGTTCTGTCTCTTAACATAAGAACAGCAGCTAACACCCTGTTCTGTCTCTTAACATAAGAACAGCAGCCAACATCCTGTTCTGTCTCTTAACATAAGAACAGCAGCCAACATCCTGTTCTGTCTCTTAACATAAGAACAGCAGCCAACATCCTGTTCTGTCTCTTAACATAAGAACAGCAGCCAACATCCTGTTCTGTCTCTTAACAAAAGAACAGCAACCAACATCCTGTTCTGTCTCTTAACATAAAAACAGCAACCAACATCCTGTTAAACTAAGAACAGCAAATGACATCGTGTTCTGTCTCTTTACATAAAAACAGCAACCAACATCATGTTCTTTCTCTTTACATAAAAACAGCAACCAAAATCATGTTCCCTCTCTTTACATAAGAACGGCAACCAACATTCTATTTAACATAAGAACAGCAGCCAACTTTGTGTTCTGTTTCTTAACATAAGTCACTGAAATGTTCTGTCTAAATACAAGTAAAGTTGCCAACATCATATTTTGTATCTTACCACAAATGACTAAAATGGAGTGTAGCCGCGTTAGCGCAGTCGATAAGAGGCTTGCTTTCAAATCCAGCTGCGACTCGCTGCAGCCATGGTCGGTGTTCGAAGCCGGGCGGTTCCCGGGGTTTACCCAGCCTCTAGGAAATGGGTACCAGAGATGACACACTGGGGTAAATGGAGGAACGTCGCTGCAGCTACAGAGTTACCTGCAGACGGCGACACAGGCGGACAATTCTTATCAGCTGTCTGTACTGGTGGCAGAGCACTTATGGCTTATAACCGTATGCAATGACGCTGGTTCACATCTCCCGACTTTACCTTTACTAAAATGGAGTTCTATTCCAATATATGAACAGCTATTAACCTTCACTCCTAATAAAAAAATAAAAGCAGTTTTCAGAATATTTGTCGGCGGATTTTTTTGTTTGTTTGTTACAGACAAAAATTGAGGAAAACAAAAACTACATCAAAGAAATCACAACCCATGCAAGAACTGCTATTATATTCCCTTTAGCATTCAACAACTGGCATGAACCTTTTTGCCCCAAGAAGTATTAAATCTGGCACTTTTGGTATGTGCGCTGAGAGCATTGATTCCGTTCCATATATGCAAATGTTGAACAGGTCCACCAATGTTTTTTTTTTTTTAAATTGCGTATCCTTTACAGGACATTGCAGAAACACCCCAGCATTTTGTTGTTTTTCTAGGAAAATTTACGTCTAGTAGTTTGCCATTGCTTTCTGGACGGTCGGCTTCTCGATACCACTGTCGAAACCAATGCAAAGTGTGTGGCCCGCAGCTGGGATCGAACCCGGCACTCTGGCATTAATGGGAGTTTTTATAGTTATGAAAAATAGTTTTTAATGGGAGTTTTGTTGCGATTAACTGGCTCTATTTTTAGAAATGATGATGTCATCATTTCCTGTTCGGCACAGCGGTCTTCAGTGGCTGAGTCACAAAGTAATAAATATGTAATGAAATTTTTGTACTGCCGTCAAAAAACCATGAGAACAATAGCTTTTTTAAAAAATAAAAAAGTTCATAAAATTGTTAAACACATTCAGCAACCTCCAAGCCACACCCTTTTGCAAAGATTCATTAAATAAATCCAGTGCCGTCTCCATATTAACATTTTCCTGCAATGGATCTCCCCAAATCTTCCTCTCCCCATTGTTGTACACTGTCTCAGGCTGCTACTCGTCCATCTCTTGATCTTATCTTCCCACTTGTATCATTGCCTACTTTTTGCTAATCTGCTTTAAACATGTCAGTCCTGTATGGTTTTTATATGACTGATGATCAGCACCTTTCCGTCTTTCCAGACGATAGTATTATATTGTGCTATGAGGAGGCACGGGACTCACAGCCCATGGCGATGACGAGCGTGACTAGCAAGACCCACCTGCGTTAAGAAAAGTCTTCCAATTACAGCCAGGGATCAAGTTCATCCTCTCCACAGCACAAAGCCTGGGCAGTATTGTAGAGACCATATGTTGCCCATGCATCATGATTCCTCACTCTACCTGCTTTGTTTACTCCAAAGGAAGGGTAATACCAGTAAGTTTGGAACAAAGCAGGTTGCAGAAGCTGCCAGATCAGAAAAGCAGCACTCTATCTGTCCCCCGGTCAGAGATTTCCTCCTAGCTAGACAAGCTGCCAGCCAAGGCTAAGATCCTGGTCTGCCCTGCCATAACATAAAGTTTTCAGTATTACCCCCCCCCCCCTTCTTCACCTGAAGCCGTTGGCACAATATGGGGTGCTAGGTTTGGTTTATGCTGTCTAAGATTCAGCATTAAAAGAAGACAGGTTTGGTTTTTAAGTTTACATCTTACATTTTTTAATACGCTAAAATATTTAACTACCTTTAGTTTTTGTGTTTTTAAATATTTATTTCAACAAATCCTTTTTATCCCAGTCTCTTGAGAACTTATTTGATTTTTTTCTTCACGAAATACAACCTGTTCTATTTATCCACACCATCAGAGACTCGACTGTGATGTCTGGATTGTTTGTTCACTATCAAAGTTTCTGCCGACATAATAAGGTTAACTAAACAAAATATTTGGCAATCCTCAATTTCAATGTTTTAATAATTAACATCAACAGTAACAATACTGTTCCTAATTGTGAAGGTGTGAATGAGGTATTTAAACTTGACAAATGCACAATTATAATTGCTTTTTAAAAAGCTATAATCAGTTAAGTCAACATTCAGACCAATATACAGAACATCATTCATTATTATAACAATCCTGCATCCTGTTAAAAAAAAAAAAGAGTTGGAAACAGAACAGCAGGCTTTCAATAAACTTCTCAACAGATTAACAGGCAGAACTTTCAATAAACTTCTGAACATATATTAATTTACACACACAAAAAAACTTTTTGAAACACTTCCATAAGGCAATATTAGACTTCAGTTTCTCTAATCCTTCAAATAAACTGACACTTGGTCAAAGCAGAAAGGCCAAATGTGACACTTTTATCAAACATATCAGACAAACATGCATCTGCCCTCCCTCATCCATTCTACACACACAATATAAACAAATTGCCATTTTGTTTCTGGTGTCAACATAAACAGATCCAAGAACTAAATAAATAAGGGAACTAACTGATAATAGTAAAATTCACGATGAGATAAAATCATGTTTTTTTTTTTTTTTAGCTGTGAATCGTTTAACATAAATACATGAGAGTATAGGCAAGGTCTGGTTTACTTTATATACATTTATACCAGCACGACAGTTACATAATTACAAGCTCCGACCAGCAGTATAAAACTTTTCTAACAGCCTGTAGTTGTATAAAAGTCTGTAATGTTGTCTTCAGTCAAGACTACGCTCTCTCTTACTGATCAATTTGAAATACTAATATCAGAAGTGTATTTAATAGACAATCCACATCGAGTCTGAACCAACAAAGGCAGCTGACTTCTCAGTGGGGTAGTTTCCAGAATTTATACCACAACTGAAACTTACTTCTTGATACCTGCAATTATAAAGTGACAGAAGTGAATTTCTATTCAAATATTTCCAACAAGGATGTTGCAAATAAATAGAAAAGAAAATATCACAGCAGATACTGCCACACAAGTGTGTTAATGTTTCTTCAGACACTCCATGCTGTGGGGCACTAATCAACATGTCACTCAATAAACCAGGTGAACACACATGTCAGTCATGATTTTTACAAAGCATGTCAAGCATGGTGGAGACCGGCATGATCCTGCAGTGGCAAGCATTGCTTTTGAGGGCCTGGGTAGTTAGCTTTCTGTAGATGTTTCCTCTGGGCATGTAGGAGTGATAGGAAATTAACAGGCAGACAGACTTGTATGCATGACAAGCAAGATGTGGTCAAAGCCCTTTGAGGGCCAGTGAGCAACGAGGAGGCAGAAATAGATCAATAGAGACTGGAGAGAATGGCTCTACACTTAGAGGGAAGGCAAGATGGACATATAATCAAATTGATACTGGAACTTTCAGAATTGGAACTCTTGGCTAACTGCTGAAGATGAGAATAGAGCGCTTATTGAAATGTCCCCAGCCCTGAGCTGTCAGGTCTTAGCTCAACATTCAACATGTCTGTCCATAGTGTTCTAGTGTTTGAACTTCTTCTTGGCATTCACTGGCTATATATTCTAGGGACCAGTTCTGGATGTTTGTCTACTTCTGGACTTTGGTCTTGTTCAAGAACTTGAGGTCTGCATGCATATCCATTTTACAGATCTGACTTATCTGTAGGCAGACTGTTGGTTCCTCATCTCTCAGACACACACTCAGACTGTGAAGAAAACACCCAAATCAGTTGTCTTGTACTGTATCTTTCTTAGAAAAGGGCGGGTGGGGGGGGGGGGTTGTCTATTCTTTTCCTTCAACCCCCCCCCCCCCCCCCCCAAAACAGGGCCCTGGAACCCACACAAGAAATGATAGGTAACTAAGAAAAGTTTATCTGAGATTGGTTACTTCATTCTGTAGAAAACTGTTACAACCAATCATGAAAAGATAAAAGAGTACCTGGAATGAACTGCTCAATTTAAAAATGAAAGGCAAAATAAAAAAGTGAGAAGACAGCTATGAACTTTTGCTTCTACTCGTACAAATAAACATACAACCTACAAGCAACAACAACAAAAAAACCATCAAATAAACAAACAGAATTTCCCACCTATACTTACAAATTACCCGTTATATCTATAAAACAGAGATTAAAAGCAGAATAGGTCAAGCAAAAGCTGCATTTTACAAAATGAAAACTAAATCGCTCTAATTTAATATCATCAGAAAAAGGGTGCTTAAATGTTACATAGAACCTGTTCTGCTGTATGGCAGCGAATCTTGGAATGTCAGTGAACAAATTTGGAAGAATTTGGAAGCAACAGAGATGTGGTTTCTGAGACGAATGTTACAAATACCTTGGACGGCCAGAGTAACTAACATCGATTGCTTGAAAGAAGCTAATGAAAGTAGATCTCTAGATACAACAATAAGAAACAGACACTGTACTTTGGACACATAAAGGGAAGAAAGAGACTGGAGAACATCGTGACAACTGGAAAGATTGGTGGAAAAGGGGGTATAGCCAGACAAAGAAAGATGATGCTGGATGGGCTGAAACGATGGCATGAAAAGATATCATCAAGAGAGCTGTTCCAGATCACCAGGGATCGTGATCTGTGGAGACGAATGAGCGCCTATGCCAGTTGGCAGAGCACATGATGATCTATGAATCTGTATCCACACAAAAACAAACAAAAAATCAAACTGAATAACAAATCAAAAGCCTCACCTGGCCACGACCGAGTACAATCCCCAGCAAACTGATGCCCTAGTTGTTGAGATACAAGCAAACTTTGGCTGGTTTCCACATTCTAAATATCAATTGAAAAAGAAAATACATCTGGACAGAATTCTTCATGATGATTTTCAAGAGAAACAGAGACCATGGCAAACCATGTCTGAAAGTAAAGAACTTCTGCTAACTTCTATTTATCAGTCTGTGGTCCCACAATACAGTTAACATATTTTGTGAAAAACATTCCTACAGTACATTAGTAAGTTAACATATATGGGTGGAAACTAAGCCAGAAATATCTAGCTGGTTATGTTTGTTACACTAACAAAAGCTAATTACAAAAACATATAACGATGAAAAAAATCCTCAACATGCAAAATGTAAAAGGCAACTAATAAATTAGTGGTTAGTTGAAATCGAATGTGTCTGGCCCATGTCAGAGTCTAGCTAGGCAAAAAGTGTCAAACAACTTTTAAGGGCAAACTCAGAAAAAGAAGAAGAAGAAGAAAAAGAAGAAGAAGAAGAAGAAGAAGAAGAAAAAAAAGAAGAAGAAAAAAAAGAAGAAGAAGAAGAAGAAGAAGAAGAAGAAGAAGAAGAAGAAGAAGAACGAACGAACGAACGAACGAACAAACTTTATTTTCAAAGGGTTACAAATTGGGCACGCAGGCCCGTCTGACATTCGGCCCTTCTAAGTACTCATTTTTCAGAGTACTAATACCTGTTATCAATAATGCATGTTATGGATTTAAAAAGAAATATATAATGCATTCACACATCGTGTGTACGCCATCATACACACTCACACACACGTATACATACATCTACATTTTCATACTGGTGAACTCATATACAGACATACGTGATACATACACATCTGCATCTACATACATATACAAGCATACACATACACAGAAATAAATGCACAAACAGAAAACACACACACATACATTTATGGATATACATGCACACACGCATTCCATATATACACATCTATACATGCACCCATGCATACACACATATACCATTACATGTACAGACACCAACATATGCCCAAAACCACACATTTACACTTACATGAATACATACACCCACACACATGCATACATATATCCACACATTTATACCTAAACTCACATCTTTACACACATACATACATACCTAAATATACTTTCATATATCCACATGCATACACACACAATCACACACACATGCACACTTGCACATGCTTTTATAAATACACAAACACCCACATACCTACACAGCTACATATACCTGCATACACCCACATTATACATAAATATACACACACAGATACAATCACATACTTACACATTTACATTCATACATTCTCATACATACAGACATACATAATACATACATGCACCTACATACATATACGCACACATACACATGTGTACATACATAAGCTAAATCTGCATGCATACATAATACAAACATACATCGACATACAAACATAAACACACATTTACATAGACATACATGCGCGCGCACACACACACACATGCATACATACACACATCCATACATACACTCACATACTTACAAACATACATACATACTTGCAAACACACATAAATTCACACACATACTTACACAGATACATACATACATCCACCAACATGCATACAAACACACATACGTGCATACATACACACACATAACATACATAAACACATATGCATGCATACACACATAACTAATCACACAAACAGACACCCTCATACAAACATTCACTTATATATGCCTGCATACATACATACATGCATACATAATACAGACACACACACAATCACACTCATATACAATCACACATACACCCATATATTTACAACCTACATACATAAATACACATACATAAATACACACACATACTCACAAACCTAAAAATACAGACATATATCCACATATATACATACACACTAACAATTACACACACCCACCCAATAATACACACATATAATACATATAAGTAAGGTGATAATACATGTGAATTATTAACTTCATCTATGGTGGCCTATAATCACTAGTAAGCATGAATTTAAAAAGGCTGCGGTTAAACGAGTACATACTCATATTTTTCAGATCGAGTGGGAGGTGATTCCATAAATGAGCAGCAGAATATAACAAACTTGATTTATATAGATCTAATCTAGGCTTCGGCAAATGCAATAAATTTAGCCGTTTGCTGGTATTAGGGTTGGGTTGAATCAACTGGAAAAGATAATCTGCAGTGTTCTGAGCTAAAATTTTATGAATAAATTTGGCTTTATTAAAAATTAATCGTTTCTTAAATGGGAGAATTCTTAACTGGCTATAGAGATGATTTTTTATCGGTATGTTTTCTATCCGAAACTAGGTGTAAAGCGCGATTTTGTAGAGAACACAGTCGTTTTAAGTTGGATTTGGAGCAGCCATCCCAAACCGTGGAACAATAGTCGATATGGGCTTGAATGTAGGATACATAAAATATTTTTCTTGTACTCTGATCCAGAAAGTGCTGAATTTTGGCTAACTGATAGACTTTTTGTGCTACTTTCTTGGTTATGGCATGAACATGAGAACACCAAGTTAAATTGCTGTCAATTGTAACGCCTAATGTTTTATGTTCACTAACATTATTAATAGGTAATTTGTCAACATGGAGCTCAAGCGGAGGCTTGTTTACGTCTAATGTCTGTAACTTTTGCCTGGTTGCTATTACCATAGATTTAGTTTTAGTTATGTTAATTTGCATGCGATTAGCATTACTCCATTTAATAAGCTTATCTAGTTCATTCTGTAATGAACGTCCTAACTCATCATAGTTCTCATGATTAGTGTATATAGTACAGTCATCTGCCAATAGGTCACATGTTATGCTAAGATGTAAAGGAAGGTCATTAATATATGTGGCAAAAAGCAATGGTCCTATTATTGAACCCTGAGGAACGCCTATGTTTAGCTGTGTGGAATCTGAAAGGCAGTTCTCAAAGGAAACTACTTGTCGTCGATCAGACAAGAATGACTTTATTAATTTTACTAAATTGTTGTTAGTTTTTAAGGTAATTAGTTTGTTAATTAAAATATCATGATCTACCATATCAAATGCTTTCTTAAAATCAAAAAAAAAAAAAATCCACACACATCTTGCCATTGTTGATGTTAGCATGCCAGTTGTCTGTCATTTTTGTCAAGGCAGTATGACAAGAGTATTTAGGCCTGAACCCTGACTGACTATCAATGATTAGATTGTTGTTATTTAAATGTTGAAATGTTATTTTATGTATGTGTTTCTCTAATGGTTTTGATAGTGATGATAGTAAAGAAATTGGTCTATAATTACCCACAGAAGCTTTATCAGTTGAGCCAGGTTTATATAGAGGATACACTTTTGCAACTTTAAATGCAGAAGGAAAGTAGTTTTTGGCAAGACACTGATTATATATGAAAGTTAAGGATTCGCTTATCACTGGTGCAGCACATCTAAGATTCGATTGCTGACACCATCCAAGCCAGATGAGTTTGTCTGCTTGAGGTTGGTGAGGTATTTATATACTTCAGCAATAGACATGAGAGGAATTTCAGATGGACTAGCATTAATGCATTTGTCTTCACTAAATGATGCCAACAGGCTTAGGTCACTCTGTGCATTTGGTATGGCGGATTTTAAATTTTCTATTTCCGATTTAAAAAAAAATTACTGAAATCATTACATGTAAGAGAATCTGGTTTTACAGGATAAGAATGATGTTTCTTGTTGGTCAGCATGTTAATCGCCTTCCATATGTCTGTACTGTTTGATTTGTCTATAATCAACTTGCTAAAATGTTCTTTCTTGATCCTACGGATCATGTATTGCACTTTATTTCTTAGCCTACGATACTCTATAACATTTTTATTTTTATGTGCCATGTCCCGATCTCTCATAACTTCCAGAACTTCACTAGTGATCCATGGAGACTTAATTTGACTTTTAACTCTAACTTCTTTAAACGGCACATGTTTATCAAACACATTGTAGACTGTTTTTTATCCAATATGCTATAGCATCGTCCGGTTCAGAAAGCTGATAAACATGCTCCAGCTGTGCGTTTCGCAAATCGTTTAAAAATATTTGTGAATTAAAGGTTTTAAAATTTCTATATTTAATTGTGAGGTGCCTATCTTTAGGAGACCTAAAGCCAAATTTTGACCATGTACAGCACACCGGATAATGGTCGCTGACAGCTAAAACAGGAACTGTGCATTCAATAATATTTCCCGGACAGGAGACATAAATATGATCAATGGTGGTTGAAGATGTTTTTGTAACTCTCGTGGGGAAGTTAATTAGCTGTTTAAGGTTATACGATATAATTATATCCCCCCAGGTTAGCGATAGTGTCCTTTTAATTAAACTCACCCCCGAGCGTATCTCCCGCGCCATGATGCACGGATGGTGGTGGTGGTGGGGGAGGGCCTAAACTAGATTGCTGGGACTCACGAGCAGCAGCTGCCGCATCTCCTGCAACTCCCTCCAATTTATTTGCTCATGAGTCCCAGCCATCTAGAAGAAGAAGAAGAAGAAGAAGAAGAAGAAGAAGAAGAAGAAGAAGAAGAAGAAGAAGAAGAAGACAAAGAAGAAGAAGACAAAGAAGAAGAAGCAGAAGAAGAAAAAGAAGAAGAAAAAGACAAAGAAGAAGAAGAAGAAGAAGAAGAAGAAGAAGAAGATGATGATGACGGTGAAGAAGAGGAGGAGGAAGAAAAAAAGGAACCATAAGAAGAAAAGGAAGGGAAAGAAGAAGGTGAAGATGAAGAGGAGGAGGAGGAAGAAGAAGAGGAACAATAAAAAGAAGAAAAGGAAGAGGAAGAAGAAGATAAAGAGGAAAAGGTGAAGAAGAGGAGGAGGAAGAAGAGGAAGAAGATAAAGAAAAAGATTAACAGTAAGAAGAAGATGCAAAAGGAAGGGAAAGAAGAAGATGAAGAAGAAGAAGAGGAGGAAGAAGAAGATGAAGAGAGGAACAGTAAGAAGAAGATGGGCTATCTTCTGAATAACGGCCACATATTATGGCGGCCAAAAAGGCACCTTGACAGGGCCTCAAACACATGTCAATTGCGGACTTCCTCCGACAAACACATTGCAGCAAAACTAGGATTACTGTCCGTTGACAATTTTGAGAACTAAACAATAAACACGATAATAGCGACATGGCGGGGAGACCACTCCCTCAGACGCAGGTTAGCGATAGTGTCCTTTTAATTAAACTCACCCCCGAGCGTATCTCCCGCGCCATGATGCACGGATGGTGGTGGTGGTGGGGGAGGGCCTAAACTAGATTGCTGGGACTCACGAGCAGCAGCTGCCGCATCTCCTGCAACTCCCTCCAATTTATTTGCTCATGAGTCCCAGCCATCTAGTTTAGCCCTATCTGCACCGAGTGTAGCGGCGCAGGAGATACTCTCGGCGGTGAAAACTGCGTTACCAATGCGGCACCGATCAGAGTGTTTGTTATTTGCAATTTCTTTGCCACTATTTTCAGATATAAAGGCCTCAATTATCGCTAAGTAGTCATTTTCCCTTTTTTCGTTCCTCATTATTTTTGAGTTCAAGTTTTTTAATGTTTACGACACATGACCTAATGAGGGTCTGTCAGGGTGTGTTTTTGGCCGACATAATATGTGGTCGCTATTTGGAGGATAACCAGAAGATGCAGAGGAAGGAAAAGAAGAGAAGGAAAGAGGAACAATAAGAAGAAAAGAAAGAAGAAGATAAAGAAGAGGAGGAGAAGAAGAGAGACAGTTTTCTTGGGTGGGGTATGGTCTAAGAAGAGGAGGAAGGAGAAGAGGAACAATAAGAAGAAGAGAAGTAGAACAGACACAGTTTTCTTGGGTCGGGTGATGGTCTAGGAAGAAGAGGAAGAAGAAGAGGAACAATAAGAAAAAGAGAAGGAAGCGGAGGAGAAGAAGAAGAAGAGACACAGTTTTCTTGGGTCGGGTGATGGTCTAAGAAGAGGAGGAGAAGAAGAAGAGACACAGTTTTCTTGGGTCGGGTGATGGTCTAAGAAGAGGAGGAGAAGAAAAAGAGACACAGTTTTCTTGGGTCAGGTGATGGTCTAAGAAGAGGAGGAGAAGAAGAAGAGACAGTTTTCTTGGGTCAGGTGATGGTCTAAGAAGAGGAGGAGAAGAAGAAGACACAGTTTTCTTGGGTCAGGTGATGGTCTAAGAAGAGGAGGAGAAGAAGAAGAGACACAGTTTTCTTGGGTCAGGTGATGGTCTAAGAAGAGGAGGAGAAGAAGAAGAGTCACAGTTTTCTTGGGTCGGGTGATGGTCTAAGAAGAGGAGGAGAAGAAGAAGAGTCACAGTTTTCTTGGGTCAGGTGATGGTCTAAGAAGAGGAGGAGAAGAAGAAGAAGAAGAGACACAGTTTTCTTGGGTCAGGTGATGGTCTAAGAAGAGGAGGAGGAGAAGAAGAATAGACACAGTTTTCTTGGGTCGGGTGATGGTCTAAGACAGAGCATGGAGGAACACCATGAACAGAATTGAGCAAAAACATCAAGGACTGAGAAAGACATGAAAGCCTACGCCCTCAACAAAGGCATAGACGGTTGGTGGTCTAAACTAGGTCTGCCCTTAAAAGAGCAGCTGGCCCATTATGCTGTGGTTTACAGTTAGGCTGTTATATCCGCAACTCTTGGCCCAACACATCTGTTTTCAGCAAATTGGTCACCTTTTATGACAAGCTTCTTAGAAATTGGAGCCCAAATTTGTCCATCAAAACAGAGGAGCAAAGTATATACGTGTGTGCGTGACACATACATATATACACACACACACACATATATACACATACACACACACACACACACATATATATATATATATATATATATATATATATATATTTATATATATATATATATATATATATGTGTGTGTGTGTGTGTGTGCGCGTGTGTGTGTGCGCATGTGTGTGCGTGTGTGTGTTATACATGCACGGGCAATAAAACATGGGATAACACAATTCAAAAATACAGTTCTTTAATTACCATCATGTTATCCTTGTTCCCTGGTGGCACGCAATTACTGGAAGTTGTCAGATCTGAAGATGGACGGTATTCAGATGGTGCCACAACTGCATCCTGGATAATCTTTGTAAACGATTCAGGTTCTTTACCAGTTTTCTGAAATAAAGCCCAGACAAAATTAACTGTGCCATTTAACACAGACATTTTGTATACTGTGTAAGCCAAGAGCTACCAAATAAGACATTTACCAGGTGTTTTTTATTACCTACTTATTCGTGGTGACGTGTGAGTCGGCACAGAACTAGCTGAAAAATACACACAAAGAAAGTGAATAAAATGGTTTGCCCACCTAGAGAGAATGCCTTGCCATGCAATACCATGCCTTTGGACACCAGATCAAACAAGGCTTACACCAAATGAGGAGAGGGAAGTAGAGCATGAGGCAGACCAAGAACAAAATAGAAATATCAGAAAATGTCTACAACAATATGATGTGTCGATGACTGAAATGGCTAGAACAGCAAGAAGCAGTGTCTCTCCCTCAACAGCTAAAGCAGTAAAAGAGGAAGTGAAAAAGAAGTGTTAGCGTTATAAATTAACCAATGTTTTGTCTGACATCAACTATTGCTTCTATTGGATTAAACAAACTGAGTGGCAAGCATCACTTCAGAGATCTGGGTAGTCAGTGCCCTATGGATATTTTCTCCAGGGCATGCAGGTTATTGGGAAATCAATCTGCAGACAGATGGGCTAGTTCTGCCCCACTTGGTGGTAAACTGAAGCATGACAAGCTAACTTTGATCAAGGCCCTTTGGGAGTGAGTAAACAGAGCGAAAGCACAAATAAATCACTGCGGTAGGAACAAAGGAGTGGTCATGATTCCTCCATGGAAATTCTGTCAACAGCAAACTCCAGATACAACACTGGGATACAAGAGAGAACACAATTATAAACAGGTGTATTCACAGAAACACCAACAGAAAAATTTACCATTGCAATTTCCAGTTCCACAGCTTGAAGCTCATATGCCAGCCGTTCATTATTTGTCACCGCTTCAGCAGCTCCCGCTTTCATCCTGGCGATATTGTGGTAGGACGGCAATGGGGTTTGTCTGCAACAAAATTCAACAGGGAGAAAAGCAGTCATATACTGTTTTACTAACAACAGATCAAGTAATCGCAGTCCAACTTCATGGTAAACAGGTCACCCACGACACAGTTACTCCATTCCTGTGCCACGGAAAATCAAACAGAACGTCCACCACTGTCCCTTGTGAAAAATAAACTGGCACAGACTGCAGTCTCAGCAAAGCCAATAGCATACACAGGAATTTAATGCATAAGGCAGCCATTAGAAATAATCATAGTTCTAACTATATAGTAAACAGGTCACCACATAGTTGCTCTGTTCCTGTGCCAATGAAAACCAAACAGAATGTCCACCACTGCATCTTGTGAAAAAAATGGACATAGACTGCAGTCTCAGTAATGCTAATAGTATACACAAGCATTAAATGTGTAAGGCAGCCGTTAGAAGTTCCAACACAAATAGTCTGGCACTAGAAATGCAGTTCATCGTCAATGCAAGGAGCAGTTATAACAGATCAGCAGTTGCACATGCAATTAACTGCATAAGGTACCACCAGTTCTTGGGTATGCAGAGAGTAATCAGCAGGTGCTAAGGAGGTTGAAGTCCAACAGTTGATTCACGACAATTCACGCTAGGTGATCTGATTATCTATACAGATGGTTCGGTGGTGAGAGGAAAGCGAAGTGCCTGGGGGTTCGTAGTGAAAGCCAATGGAAAATCTTTAGTGTTAGACAGCCTGACGTATCTAGCATGAGAATGGAGGTGAAGGCGGTAACTGCAACCCTCTGGTGGCTAGAGAACAAGATGCATACAAATGTCGTCATTGTAAGAGACTCTGAAAGCATGATGAGAAAGGTGAAGACAGGGATGCTTCAAGCAGAGTGGCTAGCTTTACTGGAAAGGTCACGGGTTGTGAGCATACTTTGGATCTTTTCTCCAGGCCATGCCAGCGTGGTGGGTAATGAAAAGGCAGGACAGACTGGCTGGATCTGAACCACTGAGTGGTAAATTGATACATGACAAGGCAGACGTGGTCAAGGCCCTTTGGGAACAAGCAACGGAATCAGTAGAGATAGAAGGAATAAACAAACTATGTTCATTTTCAAAGGGTTATAAATTGGGAACACAGGCCCCTCTTAAGTTCGGCCCTACCAAACACTCATATTTCAGATCACAATTCCCCCCATGTGGGTTCCGGGGATCCATTGTGGGGGAAAAAAAAATAGACCCACTGCCTCCCCAACAAGCTGGTCAAAGGAGTCAACTAATTGGGAACTTTTTTTAAAGTCAGAGTGGATCTGCCAGAGTGGCAAAGAACAACCAACTGCACACAAATAAGCCTGTAAAAAGGATGTACATGTGAAAATAATTCCCTGATGCACGCACATGCACACGCCCGCGCACACACACACACGGGGAAGAGGGGGGGGGGGGGGGTAAACACAAAGAGAGTGAGGGAGCAAGAGAAGGAAAAGAGTGAAAAGATGTGGATGTCAATTAAAAGCAGTCATCAAAAATACTTATAAGCAGACATGATATGAATAATACACTAATAATACACATAAAATGTCAGTGATTTTTTTTTAAACAGATGCTAGACTGTTCACATTAAAAATAATTTACACAAAAAAGCAATCAACGAATGTCTGAAAAAAGATTAAACATCAGTTTTCTTCTTCTCCTTTCCAAGCTGTAAACTTTGTGGTTGTTTGTTCATTTTTGGACTTTGAGTTTGTTCCAGAACTTTAGTTTTTGTGTGTATAATCGTTTTAAAGTTCAGGCCTATTTGTATGCAGACAGTTAGTGCTACGGACCTCAGGCAAATGCACTCCGACATCAAGGGGGGGGGGGGGGGGGGGGGGGGGGGGGGTGGGCCAGTGAGTTCCACATCTCCTGCTGCTCCCAAACAAGACAGGGCCCTGGAAACCACAAGAGAGGAAAACAGTGATAATCAAAAACAGTTCTGACTAAGCAACTACTCACTGCCAGATGGAAGGTGCCTCTAAAGGTGTGGGTTTGACAGACGGCTCAGTTTTCAGCATCTCTGCCTTGCCCCGGTAGGCAAACCTGGTGGGCATCTGCATGGTTGTGGCCAATGGGCGGTCCTGTGGTGTCACCGACAACACAGGCGTCATCCACTTGTAGGACTGCAAGGCAACAAATTATTGATGAAGTTCTACAATACAGCTGCTGTTCAAAATAAGTCAGATGGTCAGTGGCTACAGCAAGGCACAGATTAATAAAGAGCATTAAAGATCTACAATTTAAAAAATGGTGGCCCTTTGCCATACCCATAGGCGTGTAGGGCATATATCGCTAGACATTGATTTTATAGACCAATGGCCACTTGATGGGTGATGTGGTCACCATCAGGCCAGCCGCCTTTACTTTCCAAGACTTTACCTGGTGCCCATTTTAGGCTGGGCTGACCTAGGAGTTAAGGTCTATTTTTTTTTTTAAATCTGGCTCAGTGCGGATTTGAACCCATGACCTTCGGGTCAGAGGCAAGAACACTAGAGATCTATGGCACAACAATAAATACATGAAAGCATAAATTTTGAGAACACACATTTTTCCTGTGGTAGCAAATCAAGTTAAAGTCAAGAGGACTGACTCCACTGCGGCAGGTTCTAACCCACATGGTTCAGTCTCTCTCTGCAGAGAGTGCCATGCAAGAAAGGAATTATGTAGTCCCAGAATGACCCCGACGGGTCTCCATAAAAACTGCACACCTAAATCAAAACACCCCCCCCCCCCCACCCCCCACCCCTTTCACAGCACTAGGCAGATAGCTGGACCACTTCACCACGGAAGTCACCCTGTGGCAACAAATGGGTGTGAGACAATGTACAGTGCCGCAAGAACAAGATTCTGCCCGCCCTGAGATTACACTGTCCTTGAAATTTTACACAACAAAAATGATAGCCTACAAACTGAAAGCTGGACAAAGCAGGGTGAAATACATCACCTATCAGTAACACAATAATTTGTCTTCTCATTCTGCATTTGCAGTCATTGTGGCGTAGCGGCTAGTTGCTCGCATGCGGACTGGAAGGTCATGGGTTAGCTCCCTGATGGAGCCGGCTTTTTTCCCAAAAATGATTTTGACTCCCAGGTCGACCCAGCCTTGGGTGGGTACCGGGTGCAGTCCCGGGAAGTAAAGGTGGCTGGACCACATCACCCATCTTGTGCTGATTGGTCTATAAAAAATATAGGTTTAGCCCTATATGCCCTACACGCTTAAAGGCGTGGAAAAGGGTCCTTTTCTTGATTCTGCATTCACCCTTAAAAGTGTGGTTGGCAGGTTATGTTGTGGTTTACAGTAAGCCTGTGATATCAACACCTTTCAGTGCAGCACATCAGGTTTCTACAAATCCTTAATCAGTTGCCTTTTACAACACGCTTTTTAGGGGCAGAAGGTCTATTCCCTGCCCCACCCCTTTTTTTGTGCCCCCATCCATTCAGAAAAATCCAGGTCTGCCTCTTTTCTCTGCCCCCTCTATAGTATCGTTCTGAAGAGGGTGGTAGATCTATGATGTATGTTCATACGAGTGCATTTCCTGTCTTATCATTGTTATTGAAAAGAGGTGCATAGTTGTCAATGTTCTGAATGAATGATATGGGGACTTCTTCCTGTGTGATGTGGTCTCTGTATGACATCACTGTTCTGAATGATTGATATGGGGACTTCTTCCTGTGTGATGTGGTCTCTGTATGACATCACTGTTCTGAATGATTGATATGGGGACTTCTTCCTGTGTGATGTGGTCTCTGTATGACATACCAAGGATCTCTCAAAAAGATCATTTTTAATGCCTGTTTTTATTTTCAAGATCGGATAATAAAGTCACTGCTGTATGTAAAGGTACTGACAGCTAATGCTCTAAAAGAATCATGATTAAGATAAAGAGATGGAGAGTGTCAAAAGTAGGATATTATACATATAACATTTCTTAGAAATGTGGTTCATTGATAACAGAATAAGGTTACAGAGACAGAGATGTAAAAGGAGTAAGAGATAATACACATAACATTTGCTAGCAATGTGGTTCACTGATAAAAGAATCAAAGAGAGGGAGAAGTGTAAGGAGTAGGAGATAATACACAATAATACACATAACATTTGCTAGCAATGTGGTTCACTGATAAAAGAATCAAAGAGAGGGAGAAGTGTAAGGAGTAGGAGATAATACACAATAATACACATAACATGTGCTAGCAATGTGGTGAACTGATAAAAGAATCAAAGAGTGGGGAAGTGCAAGGAGTAGGAGATAATACACAATAATACACATAACATTTGCTAGCAATGTGGTGAACTGATAAAAGAATAAAAGAGATGGAGAAGTGTAAGGAGAAGGAGACAATACACAATAATACACATAACATTTGCTAGCAATGTGGTTCACTGATAAAAGAATCAAAGAGAGGGAGAAGTGTAAGGAGTAGGAGATAATACACAATAATACACATAACATTTGCTAGCAATGTGGTTCACTGATAAAAGAATCAAAGAGAGGGAGAAGTGTAAGGAGTAGGAGATAATACACAATAATACACATAACATGTGCTAGCAATGTGGTGAACTGATAAAAGAATCAAAGAGAGGGGGAAGTGTAAGGAGTAGGAGATAATACACAATAATACACATAACATCTGCTAGCAATGTGGTGAACTGATAAAAGAATCAAAGAGAGGGGGAAGTGTAAGGAGTAGGAGATAATACACAATAATACACATAACATGTGCTAGCAATGTGGTGAACTGATAAAAGAATCAAAGAGAGGGGGAAGTGTAAGGAATAGGAGATAATACACAATAATACACATAACATTTGCTAGCAATGTGGTTCACTGATAAAAGAATCAAAGAGAGGGAGAAGTGTAAGGAGTAGGAGATAATACACAATAATACACATAACATGTGCTAGCAATGTGGTGAACTGATAAAGAAGTGTAAGAGCTGTCAATACACAGCAACTCATTTTGGATGAAACTTACGTCAGCAGTGACTTGAACTGGGGCAGAGTTGTACATTTTTGCCTTGCTCATGCGAGAGATGGGTCCAAACCTGGACACAGAAGTGTGCTCAAAGGGGATGATCGTCTCATCACCATCATCACTGGGAAAGCTGTGTCACAGAAATCATTTTCAATTTGTAGCCACAGAAATAAATCCACTGTGCCGATCTATAAAGGAAGCCAGGGTATTAGCGGCTCTACGCTGACCTGCGGATCTCAAGGTTGTGGGTTCAAATGCAAACAGAGTAGGACTTTTTTCAAAAATGATCTTGGCTCCCAGGTCAACTCAGCCTTAAATCGGTACCAAGTAATATATTGGGAAGTAAAGGTGGCTGGTGTGATGTTGACATCACCCACTGTGTGCCAATTGGTCTAGAAAATATAGTTCTAGTACTATATGCCGAATATGCATGAAGGCATTGAAAAGGTTCCTTGATTTTACTTACTGAAGACCAAACTAAAGCAGTGGATTTTTTTTTCTTTAAATATCCAGAAACCATGAGTTGTTAACCCTTTGGCTCGGTACTATGGATATTGCAACCCTTCGGCCTTGATTCCATGATATGGTAAATCTGCGAGAAATGTGGCTTTTCTGCCAACCCCTGGGCGTGAACCCGGAACCACAAGGAGTTCATCACCTGATCGCCGCAAAGTCAGGTTTAACCAGTGGATATGTGAGGACACTTTAGGCAATAACAACATGATTTCAATCTGTCAACTTAAAATGGTGTGCCATTATCCAGAAATGCTGAAATCATGCACTGGAAATATATCTATTTCTGTGTCGTCTCCACAGGGGGAGGTTGTAGGAGATTTGCACATCCATTATCTTTCCCAAAAATGTGATGATAAGACCCTAATTACTTATGGACTAAAGAGAATGGTACAGCTAGGAGTGACCAGGGGATCTGGTCAACACTTTGACGCCCAGAGGAAAGGCAAGATAGATATATAATCAAACTGCTACTAGGAACTCATCAATGGCTGCTGAATATGAAGACGGAGCACTTATGGGAATGCCCCGAGTTCTGCAATGTCAGCTCTTAGCTAAACATTCATCTACCCTAATTACTTTCAAGCAGTGCCTCTAGTACCACTGCCAAAAGCCACAAGTATCAACAGTTTCCCCCCGACTTCAGTAGGTTTTGTGATTCTCTGTTGCTTTACCTCAAAATGCGCTTAATATATTATCATATAACACATCTTATAATCTATGCCGTGTGGCGTTGGTAGTCACATCTATCCACACCCTTCTGTCTCATGTACTTTCAATCAATTCTGTCACAGATGATCTTCCATGCGATGATGTCAAACTGTCCAGCTTCTTCTCTCTCAGTCTGCCTCTGCCTCTATTCCCATCCAACTTTCCAACCATGATGTACTTCAGTTTTCTCCTTCTCATGATATGACGAAAGAATGTAAACTGTCTCCTTCTGATGTAGGCAATCAGTTCTCTTTGTGAGTTAGCTTATTTAAAGATATCTTCATTAATCATTTATCTGTCTGGGGTATTCACATCAAACATCAATAAAGCCAAGTTTCTGCAGCTTTTAAGCATTATTTTTGTTTACTAATCATCCAACTAACTGTTCATGATTTATTTCAGCATGTCAAGATAGGATTTATATAGCTCTTGAGAATTCACTTTTTCAACTGTGAAAAAAAAATATTACCATGAATATTCTTTACTTCGTGTAAACAAAACAAACAGAAAGAGCATAACAACACATACAAACCTGCAAAATTCAGCATCGCTACTGCAGACAGCCTGCGTGGTGCTGACATCGAGGTTTCCCACACCGTCTTCTTCAGAGGTGCACAAACGACCGTTGCCAGCCTAGAGAACCCCCGCAGGATTAGTAATTTGTGATTAGTTCGGGACAAACACTACGTGCACTTTTTTCCTCTTTTTTTTTTCCATCAGGTTCACCAGCTGTAAACTCCAGCAGAAAGTTTTGGTTGTTCGTCCACCTCCAGACTTTAGTCTTGTTCCAGAATTTGAGTTCAGTGTGCACATCCATTTTACAAATCTGGTTTATCTGTAAGCCTTCCGTTAGTTCCTTGCCTCTCAGGCAGATGCACTCCGACTTCAAAAGAAACCATTAATTAGTCAAGTCTTACGACATGCTTATTAGGGATGCAGAGGGCCTATTCTCCCCCCCCCCCCCTCTTTTCCCCTCACAATGGGGCCTCAGAACCCACACTGGGAAGATTTAATTTCAAAACTTCCCTTCTCTTAATGTCAACTTAAACATTCTTTATGTGATCTGTTTAGTGCCCGTCTCTCTAGTGAAGTTGGCTAAGCCGGATTGCGCGGTGACCGGGTGACGAACTCCTTGTGGTCGGGCTCACTCCCGGGGGTAGGCAGAAAAGCCACATTTCTCCCAGATTTACGGTATTTACAATGGAATCAAGGCAGAAAGGTTGCGATATCCATAATACCGAGCCTAAGGGTTTTAATTAAAAACTCATGGTTTCTGGATACTAAAACAAACAAACAATCTGTTTAGCAATCAGATATCCTGCCCACAGCTTTGTTGAAAGATAGGTCTGCAATAGATGTTTTTGCAAATAAAATACCAGGAGAAGACTATATGCAAATTAAAATAATAGAACTGGAAGTTTCTGTAAGACTTCCCTGTCAGCATGGCTACAGAAAATATGCGTTGTCATCCTCTTTTTCTATGCGTTCAGTTTTGTATGCTGAGATCAGACTATCAGGTGGGTTGTCCTTCATGGTTCCCCATTGCTTGCTCTGCACACTTTGTTCTTAAGGCCAGGTGTATATATGCATCATTAGAAAGTACAGTAGAGGATTCTTTTATTTTATTTGTCCCGTTTCAGTTCCTAATTTTTTTTAAATAGTTCAGCAGACACATCTTTTTTCATTTTTCTCCCCTTTCTGTATGTCCCCTGTTAAGGTGTGCTTGTTTGTTGTACAGACCATGTTCCCTGTTAAGGTGTGTTTGTTTGTTATACAGACCATGTTCCCTGTTAAGGTGTGTTTGTTTGTTATACAGACCATGTTCCCTGTTAAGGTGTGCTTGTTTGTTTGTTTGTTATACAGACCATGTCCCCTGTTAAGGTGTGATTGTTTGTTATGCAGACCATGTCCCCTGTTAAGGTGTGATTGTTTGTTATACAGACCATGTCCCCTGTTGAGATGTGATTGTTTGTTATACAGACCATGTCCCCTGTTAAGGTGTGTTTGTTTGTTATACAGACCATGTTCCCTGTTAAGGTGTGATTGTTTGTTATACAGACCATGTTCCCTGTTAAGGTGTGTTTGTTTGTTATACAGACCATGTCCCCTGTTAAGGTGTGATTGTTTGTTATACAGACCATGTTCCCTGTTAAGGTGTGTTTGTTTGTTATACAGACCATGTCCCCTGTTAAGGTGTGATTGTTTGTTTGTTTGTTGTACAGACCATGTTCCCTGTTAAGGTGTGCTTGTTTGTTATACAGACCATGTTCCCTGTTAAGGTGTGTTTGTTTGTTATACAGACCATGTCCCCTGTTAAGGTGTGATTGTTTGTTTGTTTGTTATACAGACCATGTCCCCTGTTAAGGTGTGATTGTTTGTTATGCAGACCATGTCCCCTGTTAAGGTGTGATTGTTTGTTATACAGACCATGTGCCCTGTTGAGATGTGATTGTTTGTTTTACAGACCATGTCCCCTGTTAAGGTGTGATTGTTTGTTATACAGACCATGTCCCCTGTTAAGGTGTGATTGTTTGTTATACAGACCATGTCCCCTGTTAAGGTGTGATTGTTTGTTATACAGACCATGTCCCCTGTTAAGGTGTGATTGTTTGTTATACAGACCATGTCCCCTGTTAAGGTGTGCTTTTTTGTTATACAGACCATGTCCCCTGTTAAGGTGTGATTGTTTGTTTGTTTGTTATACAGTTAAAGCACATGATCCAAGTCTGGGCACACCCCTCGTGTGGGCTCCGGGACCCCTTTGTGGGAAAAACAAGAACAGACCCACTGCATCCCCAACAAGCGGAATGTAAGAATTGACTTACTGGGGCATCCTTCGAAGTCAGAGTGAATCTGCCTGAAAGGAGAGGAACCAATAGTCTGCATACAAATAATCAGATCTGTAAAACAGATGTACATGCAACACTCATGACTAAAGTCCAAAGGTGGGTGAACAACCAGAACTTTCTGCCAGAGTTACAGCTGGCAAATGCAAAGCAGAAGAAATTGGGCACACATCTGTTTACTTCTTCTAGATTCCAGCTACACAACACGCTGTAGATTGTAACAAAAGCAATAATATGGCTAGAGATGCAGCAGTTTTCCCATGCATGCTTTCTGAGTGATTCTATGAGCATGCTTAAGAAGATAGAGACAGGATAGATTTGAAGAAAATGGCTGGAGTCAATGATGAAATCTCGTCTGAAAGGAATTAAGTTTCATTTCTGTGCCAGGACACTCTGGGGTAAAAGGGAATGAACGAGCGGATTGGCTTGCTCGCAGGGCCACGGTAAGTACAGGAAAAGCAATGGACCCAGCTGACATTCTCAATGCACTCTAGGAGGCAGGATGAGAAGATGATTCAGGAGACGACTCTGAATCAGCAACTCAAAAGCTACAAGAACATCAGGTCAAAAAGGTTGCCAAACATGAAAACTATACAGGTAGCCAAAGTAGAATAGTAAACCAACACAGAACTTATATTATCAGTCACACATGCTGGGGGATATACTGAAGGTGGGATCAGAGCACTTATGGACTTGTCTGATATTCAATGAGGATAATCTTTCGATTAACTATTAACTATGAAACGCTGTAGATTTTTCCACTCAAAATGGCAAGGCCAATTGCTGGTCGAGTTGAATAGAATTGCTTTTCAAAAGACTTTTTTCACCTTTATTAAAGAATCCTCTGCATTTGACCTGACGGCCCAAGGGAAATATCAGAAACTGAGCTGCAGATTTTATTGGGGATGTTTTTGACTGTGTCCAGCATGGTTTGGGGTGTGAACTGTAGATTTAGAAAATGGTGAGTGGCCTGTTGCCATAGAACTAACTGGTGGAGCCCTTTGTGATTATTCACATATGCAACTACTGATCTGTTGTTACTACAACTTCTAGTTGATGCACTGCTAGTGCTGGACTGTTGGTGACAGCATTTCTGACGGTTGCCTTGTGTATTTAATGTGTGTGTATACTATTGGATATGCTAAGACTGCAGTTTGTTGTCATTTTTCCCACAATCAACAGTAATGGACACTGCATGGTTTTCTTTGGCACAGGTATGGAGCAACTATTTGGTGATCTGATTGCTATGAAGTTGAAACTGTGATTACCTGAAATAAGAGAAATCACTGAATGCACTCACCATATCTGCAGCACCTGATGTAGTTGTAGCAGCCATGGAAAAGGATACACTGTTTGTGGTGCAACTTTCAGGCAGTGATCCCCTCAGAGATGTCTCCAGAAATTCATTAGCAGTGACATCAGAAAGGTGGTCATCTCCATTAGACCATTTGATCGTGTAGTTCTGTATGTCATCATTCACTACATGGAAACAGGAATGGTTTTCAGACAAGCCACGAAGGTAAGGTTTTAGAAAGGTACTGCAGACAACAGATATGGTAGCTACTCAAGTATGTCATGATATGATTAAAGCCAGAATGGTAAGGTTTTAGACAGGTATGGCATATAAGATATAGTTACTTACTCAAGCACGATATCATATGATTACTGACAAGCCAGAATGATAAGGTTTTAGAAATGTACAGCAGATAGCAGATATAGTGGTTACTTACCCAAGTTCGATAATAGGAAGGTAAATAAGGAAGGTAAGACTAATAAGGTACATAGAAACAGGTGAAGAAGATAAGATTAGTCTCAGTAAGGATTGATTAAATGATTATTTTGATAATCATGTGAGATATGGTTATTTAAACAAGTATGGGAGACATGGTTATATAGATGTTCTTCTAGACCAGCTAAGACTATGTCTGCACTGCCAAAAGACAGGTATGACACATATTATTACAGGTATAAGAGACATGACTATTCAGACAGGTGCGGAAGATAAGATATAGTTATGCAAGAATGGAAAACATGGTTATTTAGACTGATGAGGAAGATACAGTTATTTGGTCATATCAAGCGCCACGGCGGACTGGAAAAAAATTGTGGCACTCCCATAAGTGCTCCGTCCCATCTTCAGCAGCAAGCGAAGAGGTCCAATTCCCAGGTACCAGTAATTGTCTGATTGTACATCCGTCTGGCCTTTTCCTTGAGGGTCGGCCAGATCCCCTGGTAACTCCCTACACAGCCATTCTCCTCAGATCCTAATGATCTGTTTGTATCTCCGCACTGTTCACTCGCTCCCAAAGGGCCCTCACCACATCTAGCTTGTCATACATTGATTCACCATCAAGCGAATATAGAAGGATAGAGGACTTTGGTGGCAGTGAATCCACATCACTCGCCAGAATGGCAGACTTGGGAATTAAGATCGGCACAGCAAAAAACGAGACGCAGACCAGACACGCCAGAAGACTTGTTAATCAACATAGAACTGGTACTATTAGCCATCGGACGTTGGGGTTCATACTGAGGGGAGGATCTGAGCACCTATGGACATGTCCGGAGTGCAATGAGGATAACCCAACTAACTAACTAACTAACTAACTAAGAGTCAATTCTTCTTCTTCTTTCGTTCGCTTGAAACAGATAATCTGTATCTGCAATGTTGTCTCTAGTATGAGCTTCACTATCTTTTGTAATTCACTCAGTGACCTGTAAAGTTTGGCTTGCACCGATGTTTCTCTCGGCCAAAAGTTTTGCCTTGATATGCTGCATTTGGGACAGTCTTGGAGGTCATCAATTATTGATAGTCAATACAAAAAGATTCATATCAAGAATTTGGTCTTAGACGAGTGCTTTAAATAATAAATTCTATCATATCCCCTCTAAACTTTAACAAAATCATATATGTATTCATGTGTGTCTGATTATAAACACAGCCATTTTTAACATATGGCTGAAAATCCTGGAAAACTATAGCCCATTCCAAAAGTTGTGCCCTCAAATAAATAAGGCAAAATAAAAACTATAATTATTTTATAATTACTTTCCTACAAGGACATAATTATTAATAGGCTGCATGCCAAACTTCTTCAATTTACACCCAATAGTTACAGATTTGTCAAGTTGGGCGTGACTTTTAGAAGGGACTACAATAAATGAGCTAAACAATTTCTGGAGGCCTCCCAAAAGTGGTTTTAAAGAAAAATCATTAGAATTCATTGTGTAGCCAAACAGAGCCCCATAGAAGTTTGGAAAAAGCCGAGGGATTGAAGACAACTTATCACAAACAGAAAGAGATAGTCTTTTGTTGGGGGGGGGGGGGGGGGGGGGGGGGGGGGGGGGGGGGGGGGGGTTGTTATGGGAAGAAGAAAACTGGCACCTGTTGTGACCACAAGAAAGACCTGTGAGAAAAGAGACAGAGGAAGACTACAACATGAGACAAATCTTTACAGCCTTTTGTCATGATGTGGAAAGGTATCCAAACTCATACACAGTGCTGAACATTGCACACTGGGGAGAGGCTTGTCCATGCCAGTCAGCAAGGCACTTGATGACAACAATGATAGGTGTGACATAGAATCACAGGCTTTACTCAATAAACAAGAGAAATCTTACACAGCTCATCCAAGGACTGTGTGGATCTAGTGGCCACAAACATGTCAGACACAGATTTGGGCATGGCCTGTCTCCTGTGCTTGTTGGTGCTCAGAACTGTCTTCAGGCCAGCAAAGCCTTTCTGACCATTAGCCAGGTATAGAGAAGCTCCACTGCCCATGAACATGGGCTCCTCCTGTAAGTGGTTAATGATCTGCTGCTTGCGGCTGGTCAGCTTCTCCAGGCTTTCACCTCCCTGTGATCAGAAGAGAAGGTATCGTCAGGAATCCATTATGACTACGGCCTGCCAGACGTATTCCCTTATTATGCGTTAACTCTATAATCAGACAACAGCTTTAAGCTTTGAAAAATTGTTTAACACAGTGGAAAATCGATGGGCATTTATAATCAGAATCTGTAACTTGTAATTCTTTCTGACATTTCTTACCAAAAGTAAGCTTAATTTGATTTTAAAGAATTATTCATAATTTAATACATGTGAGACATTTAAACTGCAAGTGGAACATTTAAACTATTTAAAACTTAACTTTTCAGCTTTGATAAATTGTTTTTTTTTTACGAACAAATTCATGCATGAAAAAATACAGCGTTATTTTCTGCTTAAATTTTATTTTTTTAATTTAAACTTGCATATGCCATATCATATGGTGCAATTTGAGTATAAAGAAGTTAACTTTACCAATAAATTTAAAATCCTATCCAAAATTACTATAAAGTTATTTAGTTATAAAATTTAAGTACAGACTGTGCCCACAGTCTGCACCCAAAATGAAACGTCTGAAAGCAGACAAATGGAAAAACACAATACCTGTTCAAATCATTAACCCCTTCATGGGTAATGATTTCCGAGCTTTGGGTGGCTGCAACCATTGCCCTTTTAACCCTGGTATCGTCAAAGATTACCCTGAAATATTCTGAAACACCGCCATAGGTTAAGGCGGGTCAATACAGGTAACCCTACAACCACATTGCAAGTAACCTGTCCTTACATTTTACTGGTGATACCATCATGTAGATAACAATCACAGTGGTACCTCTAGACTGATGGTAAAACCTCTCCCAAACAGCTATATCTGGCTGACTGAAGAAGACTAGCTATTCACAAGCAATTGTGTAATTTTTAACTGGATGCTTGAGGAAGTTTCCAGAATTCAGTAGCTGCAATTTATGAGTGAACATCAATGAACAACTAATAGCAACCGGATTCGGATACAAGGTTACTGTTTCAACATGTTATGACACGAAATGTGTTTTTGACACTGGCGCTGAAATAAGTTTTGTAGGGACATTTTTGAAAACCAACCACATATTATAACAGTCACTGCTGCAGCTGATTCTTTCGAAAGAATTTACAACTGTTTGGTTAAATTCAGTGTAATTATGGGTTCATAAATAAATCATCTGTCAGATGATATAGTTAACCTCCACTGTTTATGTTACGTTATGTTAGCACGATCGATGGCATTCCCATGATCAGCCCTCTGATGCAGCACAAGGTAACTCAGCAATGAACAGTTCTAGGTTGCTTACATCAAATTTCCAGAATCCTGCTTTAGTAAACATTTCTAAATTTGTGATATCAAACTTCCAGAATCCTCCTACAGTAAACATTTCTAAATTTGTGACATCAAACTTCCAGAATCCTCCTACAGTAAACATTTCTAAATTTGTGATATCAAACTTCCAGAATCCTCCTACAGTAAAGATTTCTAAATTTGTGACATCAAACTTCCAGAATCTTCCTACAGAAAAATTTCTAAATTTGTGACATCAAACTTCCAGAATCTTCCTACACTGAATGTTGAATGTTCATTTAAGAATCGACATCACAGCACTCGGAACACTACCATAAGTAATCAGTCCCTTATCTTCAGGAGCAAGCGAAGAGTTCCTATTCCTATGGTACCAGTCACGGTCAAATTAATCATACACTGAACATTTCTAAGTTCCTTACATACAGCTTCCAGAATATTCCTACAGAGAACACCTTCACATTGCTCTTAGAGTTTCCATACAAAACTATGTGAGCATCAATACATTTAACCAACTAAGTTTCAAAACATGTTGAAACTTTCATTTCTTATCAACCTGATTACCTGACCCCCTGAAAATTAGGACGGCTGCAAATTTATCACCAAATATAAAATATTGCAGTTTCATCCATTTATACACACTGTTACTATCAATTTTTCACAACGGTTTTTTTCAACAAAAAAAGGCAAAGAAAGACAACTGTGGATATTATTTTCTTATAAAAATAACTTATGGACTTTCTTTTCAAAGATATCAAGCAAACAGTGTATAAACTGCTTGTGAAAGCTAGCCTTGAGCGAGGGTTTTCCCTTTTTCCGTGAAACACAACAATGATCATCAAACGTAAACAATTTCATGTTACATGAGTTTAATAGGCCAAAAAGTAATTTCCAGCATTGAATTTCCCTTTGGATATTACGTACGATTACATACCAAACTGGCAATCTGTGTCAAGATTATACCCAAATAAATTGTATCTCATTTGTCAGTAAAAAGTTACATAAACACACTTCTAGAAGGTGTGAACCTGGCAACATTAGCCAACAAATGGTTTATATTAAGATCGACATCGACCAAAACCTGGAAAGAACAAATCACAAATACCTGAGGATACTTACCAACAACCATCGGTAAAAATTAATTTATTTTGTCACTGCGTAATAATTTTCTAACAAATATTTCATACATGTTTCTGTGGGTGTAATTATATTGACATTAGGACCACGATAAGACACCTTCAGACTAAAAGATGTGTGCTGACAGTGTTGGCTGTGAAAATATACTTACAAAGTAAGGCACATGCTCATGAAGGACATTCCTTTAAAACTCAGGACACAGTACAACAACAACACACACTTGTTTTCAACAGTTGACTCTTAGGGATTCACAGCTGGGTCGTGAAAAGGAACAGTGTCCACAGTCTGGTGCAGTTTGCAGCATGAGTCTCAAGGCTTGTTGATGATAAGGCTCCAGTGGCTGACTTGTATCAAGCTAGCCAATTTGAATCCAGAAAATCAGTGGCCATGAAAAAACAAAACCACTGCTAGAATATTTATGTTTTTCACCTGGGTACTTTTGTTAGCCAAAAGGTTTATTTTAAAAAGATTTTTACAGGTAGGTACAAAATGTTTTGAGTTTTCAGCAGAAAAATGCAGCTGCAAGTACTTTACAGCAAAGAACAACTCAAACCTTCACTTTACACATCCCCCCCTCCACACAAACACACACATACCACACATCATCAAAGTAAACAAGTTATGTAAGTTGAATTAATAACTCAGTTTTATTGTACAGAATTATTTGAGAAAACAACATTGGCCGGATGCACTATAAAGCTGTGAAGTTTGTACACTCACCAAGTGCAAAATATTAATACAAAGATATTTCAAAGACTTCACTGAAAGTGTTTCATGACATCTTTGCATCTTTAAATATATGTATGTACATTAAAAGAAAAAAATTAGTGATCTTAGACACACGACCATTACAACATTTGGTGCTTTATTAATATCCTACCCCAATCAGGGGAAATCCACAGTTCACGGGACAGTATAATATTTCAGGGGGTGGTAGATAGGCTGCATGCAGTCGTGGTACCTAGACTGCACTCTCTCGTGGGATGTAGGTAAGTTGGGGTTAGGGCCAGTTCTAAATGTTTTGGGGTCGTTAAAAGCATCAGAAAGCCAGGAAAAAAAGTCTTACCACCCTCTAAAATGTTGGACTGTCCTGTGACATCATCTGGGGTCGTATATTAATAAAGAACCCAACATTCTTTCATCATTTGGAAGTTATTTAATATGCAATAATTAATATAATAAAGACAGAAAATGTTATGAGGCCTCAGACTCTACTGAAGCATGTTGAAAATTCCTTGGATAGCCAAATGAGTAATCCAGATGAAAGGTCGAAGACAAATTATCAAAGAAATCAGGCAGAGGCAGTCATCTTTGGCCACATTAAGATATGAAAGAAACTGTAATATGCTGTGACAACTGGAACAACTTAAAGTCGTCTGCCTCACACCAACCCTTCTTAGTCACCTCTTATCTCCGACTGTGGGGAGAAAATAGAACAGACCCACCGCCTCCCTAACACACATGTTGTAAAAGTCAATTAATTAGGGGTGTTTATGTTAAAGTTGGAGTGCATCTGCCTGAGAGCCGAGGAACCAACAGTCTGCCTGCAAATAAGCCAGATCTGTAACAGACATGCAAACAAAACTCAATTTCTGAAACAAGACTCAAGTCCAGAAGTGGATAAACAATCAGAACTTTTTTACGAAGCTTAAAGCCGGTGAAAACAGACAAGAAGAAGATTTCATCGTAATAAATGAAGGAGGTAGTTGTGTTAAAATTTAACTTTCTTCAAACATGCGAAGTGACTTTAGCAATATTCAAACAAAAATAAAAACACAAATATACAACAGATAGGCCTCTAAAAACAAAAAAAATCTGAAACAGGGTTAGGACACCTGGTCTGTAGAAAAACAATAAGTAAAAAACACTATATTTTTTCAATTTAAAAAAATATACTGTAACTACTAGATGGTCATAAGTTGTTTGTGTGTGTGTGTGTGTGTTATTTTTTTTTAAACTTACGAATCTGAACAAAAGCCATACACAATTGTTTATTTAAAAAAAAATTGTCCACAATGAACTCGAGAGATAAAAGAAGCAAAAGTGATGGACAGCATGCGCTTTACTGGGAGACCAAAGACAGAAGAAAGAAGATGACATATAAATGTGGCAGCAGATATAATTATTATCATGTGTTGTTCACAAACATCTTCTGCTCTTCACAAACATCTCGTGATCTTCACAAACATGCCTCTCACAAACATATCTTGCATTATTTACAAGCAGTACCTTGAGCATCTCATAAACATTTTCTTGCCCACCACATTCTTGTGCACTTCACAAATATATGCTCACCACAAACTGTCCTGTGCACCTCACAAATATATGCTTACCACAAACTGTCCTGTGCACCTCACAAAGATTACACATAATGTACAAGCCCAACTTCAAGGGTGATAATATGGCAATACCTTAAAAAAAAAATATAATAATAATTAATAAACACCCCCCGCCCCCTCACTCCTTAAATAAAAAAATTAAAGTAAATTACATCACTCAAAATACAATGTCAAGAAAGACATTTAGACAGTAAAACAATTTTTTTATTTTGTTAAACATCAAATAC